ATCAGTTATATCAAATCTGAAAAATTTTGGTGAAGTTTCTAAATCATTTTTTTTAAATGTCTTCCAAACTTATCTATCATATATATCAGCTAATATATTATCAAAATTTGTTCTATAAACCCATTAACATAGATGATTTTTTAAACTTTGTCAATAAAATATAATACTAAGCTGTTCTCAAATGCTAACAAATAGATGAATTAATTTTATTTGAAAAAAATTTGAATTATCCATTTTATGAGACAATGATATATTACAAGGTTATAACCTGTGAATTGATGAATTTGGAAATTTGATGTGATTGCATTTTATAATCGATAAAGTATTATTCTGCTGAAAGTTCATACTTTATATCTATTATAAAGTTTTTGATATTTTGTATAAGATACAAAACTATAAAATCAGTTTTTGAGGCTAAGTAATCTTTTGCTAAATAAAGAATACTTGGAAATTTATTAAATTATCATCACCGATTTCAGCTAGAATTAATTTTATAAATTTTATTAGAAAATTAGTTAAATCTTTGATATAATGAATCTAATTTGAAAGTTTATTATCCATAATAAAATCCATGCAAATTGGTAATTAATTGGTACTTCCTCTTCTTCATCTTGAAATGATTCATATTTTAGCAAATAATCTTCAAAAGTTTCAGAAATAAGTAAACTATCTGATTCATTTTCATCTTTATTCATAGGAGATTCAATATGTTCATCACAAAGTATAATCCAGCATTTAGTAAGTATTTAGTAAACGTTTTAAAATTACTTTTTCAAGTACTTATTGAACAGGTTTGAATAGATCTTATGTTTAATAAGCATTAGTATTCTATTATAATTACCTAATGTTATATATCGTATTCCTCTGAAAATAAGCAACATATTTTTGTTATAGTATTGCTTATTTTCGGGTATTTCAATATGATTACCAAAACTTCAGCTCTGAGAAAAGAAAAAATGGTGATTTTTTAAATAGAACTTGGAATTTGTCAATCAGAAAAGCCAAAATTTAATGCAAATCCTGTGATTGATAATTGCGTTTGATCATTGATTTATCACATTTAAACAATTAAAATGCAAATAAGTTTTAATTATGCTAAGTACTCTAATTTTGTAAAAAATGCCAAAATCTAAAAGAATATGAATTGTTAAACGTAACGCTAAAAAAATATTAAATGTAAATGAACCTCGTATTCTATTGAACAGAAAATACAGATTGTTATCTACGCAAAAGAATACAGAAATAATCAGGCAGTGAAGTACTTTGATATTAATCATAGCATGGTAGAATACTGCATAATAGCGAGTTCAAACTAGACAACTGAAATAAAAGGAAAAAATAAGCAGTTTGGCTCAGACTGAAGAGCTTTTTGTCCTAAAGCTGAGAAGAAGCTTTATGACTGAATTATAGAACAAAGAAAGTTATAGAACAAAGAAAGCAAGGTCTAGCAGTAACCTATTTAACTATATGAAGTAGAATGTTAGAAATTTTAAAAGAATTGGATATGATGGTTCTTTACGGTAAGTCAGAAGTATTTAAAACATCTTATCGCTGGTTAATTGCATTTATGAAAAGATTTAGATTGGTATTACAGAGACGAACTAATATATCTCAGAAACTTCATAATCAAACTGAAGAGCTATTGGAAAATTTTTACCAATTTGTTACTAATCTAAGAATTGAAAAGTCATTCAAATTGAAGAACATTTTTAATATGAATGAGACGTCCGTTTGGTTTGATATAATCAGTAATTATACCATTAATCTAAAGGTAAAAAAACAGTCTATATTTGTGCAATAGAAAATGAGAAGAATTAGTTTACAGTTGTTCTTATGTATGCCGCAAGTAAGTTTTTTTTTATAAAATCGAAATTTATTCACTAGTACCATTGATTCATTATTATAGATTAGAGCTTCTAATGAGTCGAGTCGAGTCGAGTTTTAAAGATAACTCGACTCAACTCAAAAAATTTGAGTTGAGTCGAGTCAATTCAAAAAATTTTAAAACTCTAACTCGACTCGACTTGAGTTATACTTAAATTTGACTCGACTCAACTCGAATCAAATAAAAACTCCCAAAATATATTTGCTGATTATATAAATAATAAAATAATAAAATTATATTAATGTTTCGGAGGCTATTATCTAATGATCTACTGATCAGAATTTCATGAAATCCACACCATCATGTTTGCCGAGATGTGCTCATCAAAACGATATGTATTGCATTTCTAATGGATCACATCACTGAACGCAGAGATATTTAAGAAAATGTGTTGAAAAATTGATTTTAGCTTCGAAGGCCATTATTTCGAGATCTACTGATCCGAATTTCGTGAAATCTATACTATCGTGTTCGCCGAGATGCGCTCATCAAACTGATATGTGTTGCATTTCTAATAGATCATTTAACGCTGAGATATTCAAGAAAATGTGTTAAAAAATTCAATTAAAGCTTCATAACTGATATATTTTCAAATTCTGGGATTGAACCAAATTGAGTTACACAAGAATACAAATATATATGTACGGTTACACGCATTCCTAAAAAGGAAATCTTGGCTATCGAAAAATTTGAAAATCACCAAAATGAGTTACACAAAATTCCAAAATAAATATTCATGTAATATTAATTCACATGAGTCAACTCAAGTCAACTTGAATTGAAATAAGTCGAGTCAATTTATTGACTTGACTCGACTAATAACTCGACTCGAGTCAAATAAGTCAGAAATTTTTTGACTCGACTCGACTCAAATTCGAGTCAACTCATTTGACTTGACTCATTAGGAGCTCTATTATAGATAGAACTAAGTTTCCTCTGATATGTATTTTCAAAGGAAAGTGAATTTCATGTGATGAACAAATTTCTCCTGATATTGTTATTTGATTCCAAAATAATGGCTAGATAGACTCTAATTTAATGGTAAAGTATGTAGACTATCTCAATGATTTACGGGTGAAAAATAGGACTAGAGAGGATCTGGCAATGCTTGTATACAATTTTTTTAAAGGCTATTTAGAAAAATTGATTAAATTAAAGTTTCATGAATCTCACGTTGATCTTGCAGTAATTCTGAGTAGATTGACTAGTGTTTATCAACCACTTGACATCATGATAAATAAGCTATTTAAAAGTAACTTTCACAGAGAATGGCATATTTGGATGGCCAGTAGTGGTGCTGGAGAAACTGCTATGGAAATCTTCATCACGCTAAGATTAGTGATGTATATTTATGGGTTAAACGTTCATAGGAAAGGATTTCTGATAAAATTATTATAGAATCCTTTAAGACATGTAAAATATCAATCGATTTAAGCGAATCAGTTTTTGATTTGGAGATTATTGATAAAGACGATAATAGCAATGATATTAATAATTTAGATGATGATAATGATATCAATGATGGTATCAATAGTGATGGTAATGATGATAATCATATTTAATGTTTAATTGAAATAAATTTTTTTTTTTTGAAAATCCTGCATAAAACAATTGAAAATATATTTATTGAGTTTTTAAATATCATTTTATAAAAGTTTTACTTATTTAAATTATCTAATTCATTTATAATACTTATTTTCGAATACTAAGAATTTGGGAGTTGCTTATTTTTGGAGGAATATAGTATTATATTAGCATTAAAATCTAGCGCAATTTTTATGTTTATATAAAATGCTTATAATATATTTACTAATAATGATAATTTTATATAATTTTTATTAAATTTTAGCAAATACTTAGCAAATAAAATATATTAGTATAATACAAATATTAATATATTCACAATTAAATACTGATTAAACAGATTAATTATAATCGCATTTTTTGATTTTGTAATATTTATTTTGTTTATTTTTTTTAAAAAAGAATAAAATTCGATTAATAAATAAAGAAATCATTTTAAAAAGCTTATAAAAATGAAATGAATGTAAAATTATTTACAATTTTCTCATAACTCCTCATCATTTGTTTCACAACTTCACTTGAAATAATATTGATACCTTTTGATAAATCAAAATAATTCAAGGCAACAGCTATTTCAAATGTGATAGAATTTTTTTTTGTGTTTAGATTTGTAAAAATATGGTCAATTATCAGGTTAAGATAAGTGTAATGCGAATTATCATTAAGGTTAACAGGTTTGTTCAATTTTATATAATACTCGCATATAATATTAGCATCTTTGTATTTCTATTCTTCATCACGAGTAATCTGTCGATTTTCAGTTTTTGGTTTTACAAAGTCTAAAAATTTAGCATGAATAGCATTCTTAATACATTGTACAATATTACTTTATATTTGACATGAGAATCGCTAAGCCTAATTAAAATCAAAAAACTAATGAGATTAAATGATTTGTTATAAATAGTCATTAATGTTTACTTACCAGAAAATGAACATGCTTATTGAAAAAACATTTCTATCCACTATGTTTTATTTAATTTTAAAATACCTCCTTTTTGCATCTAAAAACACATTATAGTATAATTGCATAAGACATTCATCATTTAGATATTTGACTCTTTTAGCTACAGCATAAATCGCTTGGCCAATTGTATTCTATTATAGAATATTATGTATGATTAATTATTTAGTATAATCTTAAGAAAATAAAACAAAAAATTACTTAACATACTCACCTTAATCCATTTTGTACCATTTTTTATATGACCATTAAATCTGTTAGTTTTCCAATCTGCATATATTTCGTCAATCTTTTTTTACATATCTTGAATTATCGTAACCATTTAAAGTTATACATTCTGTATACTGCTAATTACTGAAGTAAATCCTAGAAAAAAGTATAGTTAAACAATATTATATAGGAGCTGATCTATTAAAAGTGGGTTATGAGACATAGTAAATCATATGATCTGTACCTCAATTTTAATAGAAGACTACCTATATAATCATATTTAAAAAGTAATGAATAATCAATAAACTTACGAATTCTCATTTGTATAGCATCTTCTTATTGATCTTCTCTTCTAACCTTTCATTTACAATTAGAGCGGGCATTTCTATTTCCTGAAATAAAATCATTAACAAAATTTTCTTTTTCGCTTGAAAGATTGTCTTCTGGATCAGATAAAGTAATATTATCATCCAATATATCTAAACAGGTTTCTATATCTACATCTTTGAAAATCTGCTTATTTGAACCCATCTGAATAATAGAACTACTTAGGATGCCTGGAATACTTGGAGTACTTAGAGTACTTAGGATGTTTGGAGTGTTTGGAATGTTCATAGTATTTGTTAATTCCTCTGAGAGTTTAATATAAGATAAAACATGCTGAACATTTTTGCGTGTTGATATATGTGATGTTTGATTTTTAGTATGACTAGTGATACCTAACGAAATTACCTTTCTTAATATGATGAAATTGATAACTGAAATAATAAAACTAGTTTTTTATTAATGACGAATTATTTTACTTAATTGCCAAAATTATATTTAACTTGATCTAAATTCCTTGAACTAAAATACATTAAAAAATATAATAAATTTATATTTATTCATATAAAATCATTAAAGAAATGAAACTTTTGACGAAACTACAATTTTTCAAAAAGAGTTAGGCAGGTATCACTAAGTAGAATCCATATTTGTAAAAAGTAAGTGTATTTTTTTTTGATTCAATCATTTCGTAAAATTAAAAAGAAAAAAAATAATCAAGAAGAAAATAATAAACCCAAGGAAATAGTCTAATTTATAATCTAATTTTTCAGCATAGTTAAAATCTGCATGTGAGAATGATATTATTGTTATAGTTAATTTTGATGTTAAAAGTAAACAATACGAAAGTTAATTTAATTATATATATGTATATAATATTGAAAAAATTGATTAAAATTATAATTACCTGATGAAAATTTATGTTGAATAATATTTGCTAAACTAAAAAAGACTGCAATGTGAAAATTCTTTTGCTAATATATATTAATAAATAAAACATTCTTTTAATATTCTGCATTTCTACAAAATAAAAATTTTCATTATAATGTATGTTGGTTGATTTTCATGTTTTTTATATAGTTATTAAAAGTTTGATGGTTATGTAATAGTAATCATCATTGATTTTTTTCTTTATAAAATCAGAAGTTTTGATAAGTTATATAAAAAGAAGATCAGAAAACAGTTATCAAAATAATATATAACTGTAGAAAGAACCAACTTCAAATAATATTTAATCAATTCAAAATGTGATACGTATTTTTATTTGTTAATTTAGTTAATTTTAAGTAGATTAGTAAACTTATATTTGCATAATTTTCTGTTCTAAAAGCTTTTTTAATGTTCGATTATACATTTTACATGATCACAAGATTTATACAAAAATACAAGAAAGATGAAATATTGTTCAATTATTGTATCTTTTCTTTGCTTTATTTACAAATTTATACTTTTATTTTTACCAACTTATCTTCTACTGATTGTGAGACTTGATAATCATACATTTCAGTGGTGAACTAATTTTCTAAGATGCTAAAGTATTTTTCTTGTAATAAGATTTTCAACGACTGGATTTGGCAGCTTCTGAACTTCTATCATCTCAAATTCATGAAAATCGGATCACAGGATGCAGAGTTATTTTGAGAAATATAAGGTCATTTATTTTAGACATAATCACAAAAATATCTTGTGGAGGCAAGATTGCCAAAGTGGCGTGAGAAATGATAATGATCTGGCAACCTACAAAATACTAGTTTTTGGTTCTGGGAACCTAAAGGAGGTGAGAAATTGGTAGGTTTTTATGTAAGAATTCATAGCTACCCAGTGAGTCCCCTAATGTATTATTTGCACTATATGTGTATTGAAACCTCATTCGCCTACGAAACGTGCTCAGAAATTGTAGAAACCCCAAACCAATTCGACCAGATGTAGGACACCGAGAGCTTCAAAACAAGCCAAGGTATGAAGTATTTGGATTACAGGAACCCAAAATAGCCTTTACAGTTGGGAAATTTTACTGTGCCACATCATTGATTAGAAGTTAATTAACAAATCGTAGATCGATTTTGCGAAACGTAATACTGTGGAACTGTCGCTTCCGGAGATATAATAGGCATCATTGATGAGGTTTTTCTTTCGTATCTTCCATCATGATAATAATAACCGTCATCATATCCACTGTTTCCATTATATCCATCATCATTTGAATCGTTTGGCATCTCTTCTTCAGAATCATTGTCGTGACTACAATCACTATCATCGTCTATCTTAACTTCTTTCTCTGACTGAGGTATGGGATCATCAAAATACCCTCATCATCATAATATTCCTCATCATAGTCGACATGATTCTTTGTCTCAGCTGAAGATTTTTCAAGATATCGTTAATCTTAGCCTATTATGCTAAATAATATATACAGTATGTACTGTTCAGGTCAGAATATACTATATTTAGCCGAAAATGCTATATATGTTATACTTAGGATTTATGTAACAGGTCACACAAAGTAAATTCACGTGTGTTCCGTTTCAGAAAGCCAAGAACCATAAAATATACAAATATACAATGCTTTAATCAGCTGTCATTTTTTATTTATCTCACTTTCCCGAAGCACAATTACACACCACATAATTCACTTTGCATATAATAAAAATGTTACAAATCCGTTTTTTTTACCATTTGATTTCCTATGTACCCAATTATAATTAAAAATCAAACATAAACTCGATACTATCCAGAATATTATTGATCTGAGGAAAATCTGGGATATTACGCATATACTGAATTTGTTGATGTGGTGTAAATGGTGGTACCCTTCGATTTTTATAATCTTTCGCAAGTCCAGATACACGTCTCTGTAAATGCATATACTTACTATAAATTTTAAAATAATGAAACATGATATGTATATAACAAAAATATGGTATACCTCTAAAGCTACAAAATGTGCAAAATTTGACTCGACCAGAGGTAAACTAGGTTCATCAACCACCATTTCGATGTAAGAAAAGCCCATGATCGATATATTTCGTCATGTTGTAGATCCATAATATACGTTTGTACGACATCACCTGTAATTTCCAATAATTAATTTAGTAGATAATAAAAGAGAAAGCTGTTAGACTTATAATAAAACTAAGAACAAACCACAGTTAAGTAATATGGCCGACTCTCCTGGACCACCTTTTGAGGACAAAGCTGATTGATGGTCTGTCCTGCTCGTAAATGAGCTTTTATTATATCCTTTTTTGCTTCAAAGGAGCACATCCCAAGGGTTTTATTTCTGAATTTAATAAAGATATACCATCCACCAGGGTTGGGAATTTTGTATGTACTAGATAAAATTACCACTGTACTTGAACTGTACTTGTACTAATTTTTATATTAATTATTATAATGTACTAACTGTACTAACTGTACTAATCATTGTACTAACACTGTACTTCCCAACCCTGCCATCCACAGTACATGAAAGATCGGGCCTTTGTTTTGTGCCCTTAACTGAACGATCTAACCGCACCTCATAATCATTATATCTTTTAAGGAAAATCGGATTGATATATGGGTGAAGAAATTGAGAGCAATGTTCTTGCTCTGACGTTTTTTTTTGGCGCGGTGTCAGGCACAAACTCTCGTCTTAATATGTTAGATGAAATTTGTTAAATAAATTCTATTAATGAATTAATCAAGAAACGTCAACCTACAATTCGTTAAATGTTCTTGATGACGCTCTGCTTAATGGAGTTTCGTCTGGGTGCATGAAACTATCCTGACCACATGAATTCTTTACTATGGCATCATGCAGAGCGGTTGATACTGAAGCTGATACCAATGGTTCGTGTATTTTGTATGATTTGTCCCAATTATCAATTGCCACTCTTCGTTAGTGAAGTAATTCGGGTAAGGACAGGATCGGTTGAGTACGATAATGGACGAAAATGCTCTAAAAGTGCGATATTTAAATGTGAATATAGCTGTGATGTTCCAATTTGTAAGTCTCATAACACTCGCAAGATTTCATACGTATTGTCCCACGTTAGTCCGTTTGATTGAAGTGTTTTAAGAACCTCTCGCTGGTATTTAAGGAATATTTCCGAAGGTACATAGCCGATTCTTCCTCCAGAATCAGCAGACTTTAATCAAAGAACCCATAGCGAACCCATAGCAAGCAAGATATGCCCGACACGGCACTTATGTGACTGGACGCTCTTCCCCAAAACGGCAGAAAACAGGGCGTAGCATTCACTATGCTCAATATGCTCACTATGCTTACTATGCTCGTTAACGTTTTCACATTCCTGAGAACGTGTAAAACTAACCTTTAATATTGCTGATATTTTTCGTCCCTCCTTCGACTTCGGTTTTAAATTCTCCTTCAAAATTTTTAGTTCTATCACAAATTTACTACGTATCGTTTGCTTTGACGCGTCGGGGTGCTTTTCATGGAAAAATTGACTAAAAGTATCCAACTTCCAATGCGTTTGGGGTTTCTTCCAATACTCGGAAAATCGGACTTTGCTTAAGACCTCTTCGTTCATAGTGGAATAAAAGTACTAAGAAAAAAAATAATAGATAGGAAGGACCAAAAAAATAACTACATGATGTCCTTGACACTATATACAGCATAGTTAAAAATCCATTTGATTGGCTAATTATTATACATTTTTTTAGTGATTTTGATTGGCTGATCGTCATATATTTGTTTGAT